TTTTATACCATCTCTGTGTCTCTTAGGAGCTGTGCTGTAGCTGTAGGGACATTGGTGACTTTCCCTTCCTCAGGACACTTCTCAACACTTCTTCCTACCTAACGACCAATCCTTTTGAGCATCTCCTAATATTTTATCTTCTGTCCACATTGCCGATGATGATGTTCCCTAGGGTTCTTTCTTCAGCTCCCTGATTTTCTCGCTGTCTATGTTTTCACTATTCGATATAACCCTTTCTTATTCCTGCCATGTACACACAGTTTATTCTTTTTTTTTTTTGGTATCGGGGATCGAACTCGGGTCCTTGTGCTTGCGCAGCAAGTGGCGAAACCACTGAGCTAAATGCCCAGCCCCCACACAGTTTATTCTTACTGATAGTAGTTATGTTCCATAAAGTTGCTGAGAATACTAAATATTTGGAAACTGAATTTTTGCTATTATCATGTGAGTTAGATTCTTGAGAGCCTCTGGTTACATTTTCACAACTGGTTAATATATAACATTGTTTTATGTCTGTTTCTGTGTGAAGACACTCATTTAATACATATGTTGATTCATTCATTGAATTCATAGCCACCAGCACACAACTCACTCCTGAAGGAAGCTTATCTAACACACATTTTCTCCACTAGGCACACAAATTTAGAAACACCAGATAGCACTTCAGTCCTATGGTTGTGAGCCATTTTAAATAACAAAATCACCAAAGAATAATACAAAAATGAAAAAACATAGCACTAAATTGACCACAAAAGGTACACTTGTTTACATTAAAACAGCTGAAAAAGAAGGCAGAATGTTACCTTAGTTATCTCAGCTGGGAATATTCTCACTGGGTAACTCAAATTTTGTTTCTTTGTATATGTCTGTGAATGACCACAAAAGCACTGCAGGTATTGATTGGTTTTGTGAAAATAAATGTTAGTGAGTAGCCAAATTTGCAAAATATGGAAGCTGCAAATAATGTGGATTCACTGTATCTAGGATTTCCAAATCTGTTATTCTAGTAACCAGTGCTTTTCATTAATCCAGACCTACATTTCTAATTGTATTTTTAACTTTTACTTCCATTTGGATGTCTTGAAAACATTGTGTCTCAAACCTGAATCTCACTTTTTTTCTACAAAACTTCTGCTTTTTTCATTTTATCATTTATCATATCACCAAGTTCAGCCAGAAATCAGTCATTTTAATTCCTTTTTCCTTTAACATCCCAGTTTATTGTTACATGCAGGAGATTACAATATTGATTATGCCCAAAGCAGGCTGTAAAGAGTTAACCCCACAACTGGCTTTTTTTGAGAAGTGAGTCTGGCTCAGAGCCTATGTGCCAAGGTCAAAATAACACACCCAAATTCCATTCCCACAACTAAAACTTTCTAACCAGAAGGACAATGTTCTAATTACAACCATATATTTTGTCTGTTCTGCTCCTGATTTGAGAATGTGTTGTCTTGTTCTTTATGAGCCTTGTTCACGTTAATTTCTATAAAAACTGCATGTAGCTTGCCTTTACTCCAATCGATTGCCAATAAAAATCAGCGCCTGGAGCTCAGTGGTTCTCCCATCTGCCTCACAAGTGCAAAGTCCTGAGTTCAATTCCTGATACCAAAAAAAAAAAAAAAAAAGTCAATGCCTGGAACTGGCCAGGGCCTTTGTCAGTTGCACCAGTATTGCTCATCCTGGCATCCCACTTTCTCTCCTAGTTCTGTCTTTTAGCTTTATTTCTCAGGCCTGTGTCATATACTGGGC